AAAAAAAAAAAAAAAAAATTTTTTTTTTTTTTTTTTTTTTTTGTGTAAAAGATGACATTGACCCTTCGAAAATATAAGTTGCACTGACAACATTCATTCACAATATATTCTATCAAGTGAGTGAATATCTTTCTTTAGATCATTTTTTTCGATTTTGTTTTGTCACATTCAAATTTTGGAATGATATTATATTTTTAGGGTTTAGAAAAATGTAATATTAGACATTACATTTTAGGTGAATTAAAAAAGTAGTATTTTATTTTATTGTTTGAAAAGAATTATTTTCTTTTTCCTACATTTTAAATATAAAATTTATTAAACTCCTCAATAATAACATACTTTAAAACAAATTCCATCCATTATTATTTGATTGAATAATTTTGAAACAACTTTTAAATAGAACTATAATGAACAATAATAAGAACTTGTCTCAAAAAGAACAAAATAAGAGGAATAGAGTCTAAAGTAGGAATGGTAAGTTAATAACTCAAATTATAAAATTCTGAACCCCACGCCCTATTTTTCTTTTTATTTTTCAAAAAACTATTTTTTCTGACATTGTCAATTCTTTCCCATTATTATTCTTTTTTTAAATTAAAAAATATATATATTTCTCGGAAAAAAGGGAAAGGGTTTGATGAGCATGGGTGAATGTGCTTTTTCCCTTCTATATAAATAAATAAATAAATAAATAACAAAGTATCTTTGACTGCTGACTTCACAATCCTTCCCTTTACCCAAACTTTCTCCACTTCCAAAAAATCGCCATTTCCTCGCCGCTCAATTCAAATTCCTTTCCCCCCTCGTTTTATCCTAACTCGGAGATTGTTTAATTACGAGCGCTGATGGTGCCGAGATTAGCGCTCTCTCTCGCCGTTTTCTATTTATAATATTATCCTTAAAGTAGAGTTTTTGGTGTTTTTTTTTCAGCTCAAATCAGTCTTTCGTTGAACCAAAAAGAAAACATTATAAATATGTACGTCATTATCTGATGTCTCACGTTGGTTGGGAGGAAAACAAACCACCTTTGCGTGGAAACCTACCACCTTTGCGTGGAAACCTACCACCTTTGCGTGGAAACCTTCCACTAGCATACGTATTTTTAAAGTCTTGAGCTGAGCCCAAAAGGGAAAGCTCAAAGAAGACAATATCTTTAACTCTTCAATTAATTATATTTTTCTAATCTCTAATTTTATCAAATTCAAACAAATAATTATAATTCGTTCTTGTTTAATTAAGTATTATATGTTTATGAATTCAAAATTTTCACTCCATATTCAACTTATTAATAATAATAATTAATATTATGTTGATAACTAATCATTTAATTAAATCCCATAAAAAAATTATGAGTTGAGAAGATATGGAAATGTTGCTAAATTCCGATCCCAAAGTGTACCCATTATGACTCTCTCCCACGTCGCTGTACGGACAATCGAAACCCCAAATTATTATAATTTTTAAAAAATTTATCTGAAGAAGCTCTTTCAAAATTAAATTTTTAGATTTGGATTGATTTAATAAACCGACATTACAGTGAAGATTTATGGGAAGAACCAAAAATGTTTTTTTTTTTTTTTTTTTTTTTTTTTTTTTGAAATGTGATTGACGGATGGTGAATGAATGACCCATTACTTCTCAACAGGTTTCTATACAGAGGAAAATTGAATTTTCCATAATTTTCACTGTTTCAATGCGTTCATCCTCGTTCATCCTCGTTCTTCCTCTTTTCTTTTAATGATTTCCCGTAAATTCCCCACTTTTTGTCTTCTTCTCAAATCCCCTCCTACTAATTTCAAAATCCCTCTTCTCGCTTTGTCTTCACCCATTTCCATTTCCATTTCCTCTCTTTCCTCGCTTCTCAATGCCCAATTGATCGCCCACCATTCGCTCAGCTTCTGGATCCGGTGTCTCATTCTGATCCCGCCACCGCATTTTGGTGGGGAAATCGGAGATGGGTTCTTCAGTATGTTGTTGTGGCGTAGTGTAGCCGAGTCGGATTCGTTCATGAGCTTGAGGAAAAGAAAAACTGCCCCCACCCTTTTGTCGGTTTTTCATATACTCCGAAGTTGACTCCTGGGTCTCCTTTCTTCTTTCCTTTCTCCTTCCACCGGCCATCCTCTTTATTTCTTCCTCTCTCTCTCTCTCTCTCTCTCTCTCTCTCTCTCTGTCTGTCTCCTCAGCCATTCTTCAGAGTTCCATCTCTAGAGACAGAGAGAGAGAACAAGAGCTCTAATGGAGTACGAGAGGATTCACAAAGTTCAGGTGGGTGTTCATGTTCTTGCTAAAAACTGGGAATACCCAAATCCATTTTAACTCGTTTCCGGATTTCGTTTGGTTATTAAGTTGGATTGTTCTTGTTCTTGTTCTTGCTCTTGTTCTTGTTCTTGTGGGTTTCAATTCTGCTGAAGTTTGGCCCTGTTTCTTACTATGTTTGTTTCTGAATATGTATAGGAATAAGAACTGTTGTTTATTGATCTGGGCTTGTAGAGTGTGGTACTGAGTCTACTCATTCCTTTATGTTTGTTTGGAGTTGATATCAATTTTGATTGTGAGTGATGGGTCAGTTCCAACTATTTAAGACATAATAGAATGTTTTGAGCTCTTACTTTTTCAGTAGCTGATAGAGTGATATGGGTGTGTTTCTGTATTTCAGACAGGTTTAATTTCTCCTAGTAAACTTAGAATGAAGCTCATGGGACCTCATCACCATAAAAAGAAAGATGGATCAAACTGCAACTCTTCAAGAACTTCTCCTTCTAAGCTTGAAGACATTGAGTTTGCTAGAAATAGTTTATTATTGTCTGCTGAAAGTGGTGACTTTGAAGACGAAGGTCTGTCTTCTTCCCCTT